CCAGTCACCCAGACTGAAGAAAAAACTAGGAAGGGGTAAGTTTATTTAGCAGCAAGTCTCAGAGGCTGAAAACATTCTAGGCCTAGATAAGATTGTATAGAGGCTAGAAGCTTCTAGGATGAGGCCTAGGTGAGCAGACTGAAGCAGTGAGCTTCTGACAATCACCTCTGGAGAATAAAAATTACAATTACAATTTGTTTTGTTTTGTTTTTCTTCGAGACAGGGTTTCTCTGTGCAGCCCTGGCTGTCCTGGAACTCACTCTGTAGACCAGGCTGGCCTCGAACTTAGAAATCCGCCTGCTTCTGCCTCCCAAGTGCTGGGATTAAAGGCATGCACCACCCCTGCCCGGCCTACAATTACAATTTTTAAATCTGTAATAAGAGGCAAGAGTAAATGAATTCCCACTATTTTATTTCACTTCCTGGAGGAGAGAGGTGCCATGCCACAAGGGGCACACAAGTAACTGAGAAATAAAAATGGAAGTCATACAATCTCATACTTAAGATTAACTATTAGATACATACAGTGTTTCACAAGCCCCCAAACCCACAAAACTTACCAATAAACATTTAGAATAAAATAAAAATGAGAGAGGCTAATGCCATTAGAAATGGGTATCACGGACTGGAAAGATGGCTCAGCGGTTAAGAGCACTGACTGCTCTTCCAGAGGTCCTGAGTTCAATTCCCAGTAACCACATGGTGGCTCACAACCATCTGTAATGGGATCCGATGCCCCTCTTCTGGTATGTCTGAAGACAACTATAGTGTACTCATACTCATATATGTAAAATAAATAAATAAATAAATAAATAAATAAAAGAAATGGGTATCACACACAAAGACTTTGAAAAACAGTATTTTGACTCTATATTCTAGTAAAAATAAAAACTGCACACAAGCAATATACCTGAAAGTTATGATAGACCTGTTTTTCCATAGGAAAATGGGCTGCCATTCTGAAGCCATGCTGTGTGTATTAGAGGATGTCCTGCTTAGCTTTTGTTGCCCTGACATGGGCTAGAATTGTTTGGGAAAAGGAGTGTCAGTTGAGAAGACTGCCTCCATCAGATTGCCCAAAGATTACCTGTAAGCAAGTCTGTGAGACAGTGTCTTGGTTAATGATTAGTGTAGGAGGGCCTAGCCCAGTATGGATGGGACCACCCTGGGCAGGTGGTCTTGGCTTGTATAAGGAAACAAACTGGGCAAACCCTGAAGACCAGGCCAGTGAACAGTGAGTGCCCTCCACAGCCTCTGCTTCAGTTCCTGCCTCCAGTTCTTGTCTTGTCTTTCCTCAGTGACGGTCTGTGACTGTGTAAAATGAATAAACCCTTCCTCCCTATGCCAGCTAATTTTACATCGACTTGACACAAGTTAGAGTCATCTGAAAGGAGGGAACCCCAATTGAGAAAATGCCTCCAGAAGATCCAGCCATAAGCAGGCAAGCCTGGAGGGCATTTTCTTTTCTTTTTTGGAGGGGGAGAGGAAGAGGGTTTCTCTGTGTAGCCCTTGCTGTCCAGGAACTCACTCTACAGACCAGGCTGGCCTCAAGCTCAGAGATCTGCCTGCCTCTGCCTTCTGAGTGCTGCAATTAAAAATATGCTCCATGACCACCTGGCAACATATACAGGATGGCTAGCTTAAAGAGTTTTCAGTCTTTTGTTTTCTTTTTTTGTTTTTCTGAGACAAACTCTCTATGTAGACCATACTGGCCTGGAACTCACAGAGATCTTTCTGCCTCTACCTCTGCCTCTGCCTTCCAGGTTGTTGTGTGTGTGTGGGGGGGGGTGGGTAGGGGGTTGGTGTTGGGGCCCAGGAGTCATCTCACAAACCACACAAACACCAATCTCAGTCAGACAGGGATAGTTTATTGAGCATTTGCCCCAGGACTGATCGATCACGGCCATAGATCAGACGCAGGAGCTAGCTGCAACCTGGAGACTGGATCCTACAGAGCTTTTTAAGCCCTGAAATCCACAAACATCTGTGCCAAGTTATTCCACCAGTCAGGATGTAGGGATAGGGGATTTCCTTAGGAGCATGTCTTTTTTGTACATTTATCCTGCTCCCATTGGTTGGTGTAGTCAACTGTGGCTGGGCGACTTGACTTGCCTAACATTTATGTCTTAACTTGCCAAGTGGGATGTCAGTTACCCACATACATGTCTCTTTCTGCCAAGTAGAATGTCAATTCCCAGGAAGGTCTTGGGAACGTAAACTTTATTTGACCCCCCACTCAAAATGAAAGTTTTTTCCAAATGGCTTCTTATATTGGTGCAGGTGTCTTTCTTATGTTGGGGTCCATCCCAGGGGCAGCTTTTAAAGACAAGAAACCATAAAAGAGCATACATAGGTGCGGAAAGTGCTGATGGGTGGTTCAGGTCCAAGCTTATTTGTGGCTAACTATACAAAGCAGTTCTAACTGACCTTTACTGGTTTCCAAGAACACCATGCACAGAACATAACAGAATATGTGATCAACTAGAGCGGGAGAAAGTTTCCTTATAACATTAGTAGCAAAACAAGATGGCTGGCTGGATAGGCAACAGTCACCTAGGCCTTAACATTCTACTTAGACCTTAAAGAGGGAGAGTGAAAGGAGAGGGGGCTGCAACTGAGATATAAGGTGAATAATTTAATTAATGGAAAAATTATAAGGAAAGACACTGTTTTACAGCAAAGTGCCAGTAATCAATGTAGGAGTAATAGAAATAGAAAAATATTTGACAAATATCATATATAGAATTACTTCAGGACTGAGGCTGCCAGAGACGGAAAGAGGTCACCACACTTAAGCACCATGGCTCTCGGACTCCACATCAGGCAATGTAAGTGCTGATTCTCTGCCAGCTCCAAATGAGGCCTTGTGGCTCCAGTAAAAAGAAAATCCAGGAATCAGAATAGAGATGGTGGTTCCTCAGACTGAAATCAATTGGAATTATGTGGGTGCTTAAGAAGAGACAAGAGAGGGCTGGTGAGATGGCTCAGTGGTTAAGAGCACTGACTGCTCTTCTAGAGGTCATGAGTTCAAATCCCAGCAACCACATGGTGGCTCACAACCATCTGCAATGAGATCTGATGCCCTCTTGTGGGGTGTCTGAAGACAGCTACAGTGTACTTATAATAAATAAATAAATAAATAAAGTTAAAAAAAAAAAAAAGAAGAAGAAGAGACAAGAGACATAGGACCAGAAGAGTCAATGAGACTCTGGTGTGACCGGGAAATCTTCAGCTTTCTGCAGAAATTGGAATTTCTTGAAGGTAAAGTATTATCAGGGTGAGGGTGAAAAATAACACACACCAGGCCCTGCAAGCTAAGCATCCCAGAGAAAAGTGAAATGTTCCCAGAGGCTTATATATGGATGTGGTGGTCTGAGTAAGAATGGCCCCCACAGAGGCAGAGGCAGGCGGATTTCTGAGTTCGAGGCTAGCCTGGTCTACAGAGTGAGTTCCAGGACAGCCAAGGCTACACAGAGAAACCCTGTCTCGAGAAAAAAAAAAAAGAATGGCCCCCACAGATTTATAGATTTGAATGCTTAGTCACCAGGGAGTGGAACTACTTGAAGAGATTACAAGGATTAGGAGGTGTGGCCTTGTAGAAGGAAGTGTATCACTAGGGTGGGCTTTGAGGTTTCAAAAGCCCATGCCGGACTCTCTCAGTCTCTGTCTCTCTGGCTGTGGATCAGGATGTAGCTGTCAGCTACCCAGCACCATGCTCACTACCATGACAATGGACTAAGCCTCTGAAGCTGTAAGCCAGCCTCCAGTTAAATGCTTTCCTTTATAAGAGTTGCCTTGGTCATGGTGTCTCTTCATAGCAATAGAACAGTAACTACGACAATGGGCTTATATTGGACTATTCCTGAAGCCAAGGAAATTCCTGCTTGGTCCTCATGGAGCAGTTTCATAAAGGATTCCAGGACATAGGGGAAAGGGCAGTGACCTTTGAGGTTTCCCTGTGGGGACATCAATGATCTCCATCTTTTCATGACTAGCTTGTGCTACCCCCAATCCCTTGGGAGTTGCTATTATTCTTCACCTGCTATCCTCAGGGAGGACCGACCTGTACCCAGGCAGGAGCCCTGGAGAATACATTCTGTGCCTGTTTCCTGCAGCTCTCCCAGGGCCCCAGCTGCCAGGGCAGTGATTGAAATCTACTCTGATCCAGATTCTAAATAAAGACTGCTGGAAACTGGATCCCAGGCTAGTCTGAAAGGTCTGAATGGTTTGATTCAGTTAACTTGTGATTCATTTTCTCCATCCAACATAACAAGAATAAAACATGAATTCGAAAGAAAAAAATCTGGAAGCTTTCAATGATGTATGCTAAAATTAGTAACTGAAATATGACTTTTACAGTCAAGCACCTCCCCAAATGCTATTATGCTATTTATTATTTACAATAAGAAAACAGTAACTTTGTTTTGTTTTTTTTTTTTATAGTTTTTAAAGAAAGGGTCTCTACATAGCTCTGGCTGTCCCGGAACTATACCAGGCTGGCCTCGAAATCACAGAAATCCGACTGCCTCCCAAGTGCTGGGATTTTAAGGCATGCGCCACCATACTGAGCAGAAAATAGTAACTTTATGTTAGCAGCTTGGCAGGCACACTTAAACCACTCAAAACTTGGTGACATTAAGTATTCCCCAGTAATGAGGCGTCTGCCTTCTGAGAGGCACGAGTGCGCCATTTTTTTGTTGTTGTTGTTGTTGTTAAAAATGTGTAACTTAATCACGTTAAATATCGGGCCAACCCAGGATGAAATACAGTCTACAAGATAACTGACTAGTGAAGTCAATGAGGGACTGAAGCGCTGCTGCAGGATGCAGAACAGTGAAAACACTGCGGTTATATGCTGGTTTGAGTGAAACCTGCACCCTGTGCTGGTGCTGGACGCTGTCCCTGGATGATCTCGTGTGGCTACTCACGAGGTAGGCGTTTAGGAGTCTCGGTCAAAGCTACAGGGAAGCAAGAATCTGATGCGATGGCCGTCCACTCACCGCGTGTGCCACTCGGCAGGACCCAGCGGAATTAGCTTCGTCTCCCGCGTGCGACCTAGAGCTGCGCCAGCCCAGACCCGGGTCTCCAGGATTCCGAGCGCCAGCACTCTCCCTCCCGCGCCTATAGCGCGGGCCACGTTACCATAGCGACTGGAGTCCGTAACCTTAGTCCGGGTGTACCCTGAGCCGCGCTTCAGTCCCGCCGGGCAGAAACAGGAGTCTCAACACAGAGTTCCGATACGTGCGTTGGTACCGAAGGAAGAGAAGCATGGGTTCCGTAGCCTACCGGACTCCCTGAGTAGTGCAAGCCAGTGACCAAGGACCCACACCTGTGGAACCCTGTGCCCTCCCACCTAGCTGGCCCGAGGGTCCCCAGGGTGCCCATCCTGGAGCCCCAAAGGGCTAACTTCAGCTTAGCCGGAGGCGCCGGAAGGCGGAGCGACTGGGAGCTCAGGGGTGGAGCCTGCACATCCTGAGTGGGAGTTATTCCGGGACTAAGGTTTTTCCTTTGTAGACTGCACATGAGACTGTGACAAGGGTGCACATGGCAAGGGTGGGCGGAGGTTGCACCTCCCCACAATGGCTCAAAATAGGACTGCGTCTTCCTCAATTACTCTGCCCTACCAAACACCCTTGCACCCCACGGTTCTTTCAAATACCGCCTGAGGGTGCTGGCTGGCTCACACTGCCACACCCTGCAGTCTCCCAGATGGCCACATCTTAGACCTGCCATGATTCTTTCAAGGATGTGCTGGAACCCTTGGCACCTCCAGGCAGAAGAACCCTCCCCTGAACCCCCTGCACGGCATACACCTCTTTCCCCTGCCTCTTCCTCCTTTCTTAGCGTCACCCATCAGGAGATGGCTAAGGAGATAACATTTACATCACTCTCCTGGAGGACAATACAGGCGGGACTCATGGGTGAAAGACAGACCAGTTGTAGTAAGAAAGGATGTTATCATCCTTAGCTGTCATCATTGTGGGGAAACTAGGGTGCTGTCAGGGCCAGCCCCACACCCAAGGCTCAAAGGGAAGATCCCCCTTGTGTGTGTTACCTGCTGGTGGTGTCAGGCATCCTTGGTGTCCTCGGCTGCAGGTGCTTTCTGCACGGTGCCTCTTCCTTCTCACACTGCTCTGCACAGGATGCCAGTCACATTGGGTCAGGATGTACCTGGGACAGTGCAACCTCATCTTACCCAATTGTACCTTCAGCAATGCTGTCTCCAAGTCCTGGCAACACAGGTGGCCAGGACTAGAACCTGTCTTCTGGGGAGCCAGCATGTGCCCCACTATAGACCACATTGTCTGAGCCTGTGCTGGGCTCCAGGGGCCACTCTACAGTGATCCCTGATACAGGTTAAGACGTAGAAGAGAGGTCAACTGTCCTCGACCACCAGGCATCAATGCCATCATCCCAGTGCGGATGTCATGCATGGGGTCCAGGATGGAATGAGCAAGGAAGGGTAGAAAGGCTGAAAGGCTAGAATTCAATCAGAATTCTGGGATGTCAGAACACAGGCTGACGTGGTGGATGCCTCTGATCACTGAGTGAGCAGCCTAACTTGGTAGCTAGACACTCTCCTAGGACAGTGCCATGCGATAGAAGGCAACACAAGATCTACCCAAGGACACCTGGTTCTGGCCACCCACAACTCGGGAGTCCTTTCTTTGACTTTCGGCCATAGGCTAACCTTGTGGTGGCACTTATCGCCAACACACATATTCACACACATGCACTCATACACATACATACACACACATACAATCCCCCATATAATACACATACATACACACACCCCACATATACACACACACATATGCACACACTTCCCCCCACATTCACACACATACACATACATACACCCCCACACATACACACATACATACACACACATCCCATACACACATATACACACACCACACACACATACATACACACACATGCAACCCTCCCTACATAATACATACACATATACATACACACACCCCACACATATATACACACATGCCTCCCCCCCACATTCACACACACATACCCCTCACATGTATATACACACATGCCTCCCCCCACATTCACACACACATACCCCTCACATGTATATACACACATATACACATGCATACATACACACACCTAACACACATTCACACATCCCCACATACACACAGACACCACACACACATTTACACACACACCCATATACATTCACCCCCTCATACACACACATGCATCACACACACAGATACATACACATCCCACACACATTCACATACACACCACACTCCACACACACTCACATACACACCACACATATATGCACACATATACACACATACATTCACACGCATTCACCCCATACATACACACAAACACACCACACATACATACACATCTCACACACATTCAAACACATACCACAGATATATGGCACACACACACACACATTCATATACACATACACACACACCCTACACATATATACATACACCCCACACATATATACATATCCACACACACCCCACACCCATTCACAAACACACACATACACACACACACACACACACACACACACACACACACACAGATGTCTGCCTTGAGACTCTAGGCCTTGTTGGAGCCACTAGCACAGGGATCTGGTATGAGAAGTAAGGCCAGGCTCTGCCTGGGCACACTCCTATGTGGGCGTGAGCAAGCCACTTCCTTTAGGTTCAGGAAATGGCAGTGTCAAGCTTGCTGGAGTGACTTCTCTATCTGTCAGGGGGCAGGAGGTAAGCTGAGAAGTGGAGACGAAAGCATCTCTGTGAGTGACAATGGATGCAGATATGTGTTCCTTTCAAGGTCCCTAAGTAGGGAGCCACTCCGGGGACGACTATTACTGGCAACGTCTGTCACCCTGTACAAATGGTTCATTTCCTAAGAACCAGGGAATTATTTGAATAGGACCACCAGGATGGGTGGGCTGGCTAGAGACTGAGGACATAAGAGATGATGCTTTAGTCAGGCATTGGTGGTACATGTCTTTAATCCTAGCACTTGGGAGGCAGAGGCAGGTAGATCTCTGTGAGTTCAAGGCCAGCCTGGTCTACAGAGTGAGTTCCAGGGCAGCCAAAGTTAAGAAAAACCCTTTCACAAAAAAACAAAAACAAAACAAAAAAAGAAAGAAAGGCAGGAAAGAAGAAGGAGAGACAGAGACAGAGAGAGAAAGAGAGAGAGAGAGAGAGAGAGAGAGAGAGAGAGAGAGAGAGAGAGAGAGAGGCTTTGGAAGAAATGAAGGTATGTGTCTGAGAAGGCAGCACTGGTCTTGTACACCAGAAACAGCAGCTCAGTCACTGATCTCTCTATCAGAAACCTGTGGTCTTTTCTTTTGCTTCCCTGTGTGCTTGGCCTCTGAGGTCTCAGTGCTGACTCACAGGGAGGGGTAGTAGTTCCTAGTTTCTGATGGACAGTTGGGCAGAGCTTCACCCATCCCTTGGTCTGAGGCATGAGTTTAGCACAAAGGCTGCCTACCCTTAAGCTCCCTTGTCCCCTTTCTATGGTCTGGCCTCTCCTTGAACTCTTGATTCTTCTGTGATGAAAGCTGAGAGCAAAAACATTTCAAAGCAAGGATAGGAAGATCATGACCTCTGTCCCCTTGGTTTGAGGTGTTCCACACTGTGAATCTCTAGTTGGAGTGCAGACATGATAGGCTCCAGGTAGAGGGTGGAGGTGAACCAGGCCTCAGTCAGTAGAGGAAGAAAAATCAAGGGACCAGGTATTTTTATTTTTGTTCTTGGGGTCACAAGCCAGCAGATGTCCAAGCAGTGTTCAACTGAAGTCATAGACCATTGTGCGTGCTTATCTGAACCAGTGCTAAACATAAGCAAAGCAGTACTGACCATGGGGAAAGTCTGCAGTTCAACCCCATTGCTGATGGAGAATGGGCTAAAGGGATGAAGGCTGGATAGATAGGCTGGGAGCTAGACCACCTCCTGCTGACCATCCACACACCTTGTCTGTCTGATCCTGGTCCTGAGCCTGGAGGTCCAGTGGGATGCAGGGGATTACTATTGATATAGACAGAAAGCAAGGGAAAGAAGATCCCGAAGGCCAGTCGGGGGAAGGGGGAGCAGAAGCAGCTCTGCTTGGGCCAAGCAAGACTGAGGGCACCCCAGGGCACCTGGGCTACGTGGACCAGAGTCAGCGTAAGGGTGGTCTTGAAGGTTGTGAGAGTAGATGAAGTACAGTGGACAGAAAAAGTATGAACAAGGCCCCAGGAGAGATTCTCCAGAACCTAAGGGAATCAGGAGATATGGAGAAGATCTCTGGGCTGCTAAAGGGGAGGGAACCTCTAGAAGCTAGGGAGGCCCAAGGATGTCCACAGGAGAAGCCATGGGTATGAGGAGTGGTTGGTGGGTTTTAGGTCTAGGCCGAGCCAAGGCAGAGAATAATCAACACTACCTGATAAGGGTTTCGGTTCGTCTGAGGTGGTGGGGATAAGGAGCAAGGGTCTGTGCAGTGCTGGAGTTGGTAAGTTCTGACAATTATCCCCATGACTAGAGTGTTCACAGACTGCTGTCAGCAGAGGCTGTGCAACCACAGACTGTTCTCTGAGCTCAGAACAGGTCTTCCCTCTGTCCTCAGCTGTACTTTTGGCCACTGGTAGAGCCTTGGTGGCCCTGTGGCTTCTTAGTGTCACCTCATAAGCCAAGACTGGAAAGGTCACTTTAGAGCACCGCCTTCAATCTCTGAAGCAGCATGTTGTCGCCTGCTCTTTAGAGATGGGATAGAGATACAGATAGGCCAGGTGCTGCTCTTGAGCCCTAGGGATATGGAGAAAGATAACAGGCCAAAGAACATTGAGGGAGGGGAGGGAGACACTAGTGATCAGGAATCCAATGGAGGCTTGTGATGGCCATTCTTGGTTGTTGACCTAACTGTATCTGGAATTGACTAAAACCCAAGTGGCTGGGTACACATGTGAAGGATTTTTTTTTTAATTATTATTAAATCAGTTGAAGCAGGAAGACCCACGCCTAACTTGGATCTTTTGAGGTGAGAAGAGATACCTTTAATCTGGGCACACCTTCTGGCCTAGAAGAGGACACAGAAGAGGGGACGCTCTTCACTCTTCGCCTGCTCGCTCTCACACTCCTTC